AGAGAGAGAGAGAGAGAGAGAGAGAGAGAGAGAGAGAGAGAGAGAGAGAGAGAGAGAGAGAGAGAGAAAGGGGGGGACTGTGCCAAGCTGTCCATTATGTGACTCTAACACGTGCTACGTTTTTTTTTTGCCTTTCGCCTTCCTGGAAATTTTCCAAGATGCACGCCGGCATTATGGCTCTCATGGCAATGCTACTCCCGACAAGTCCCCCACCCGAAGAGCAACTGCCAAGCAGATTGAATGCTGATTGTTTCATTCATACAATGCAAAACCTGCTTAACATCAGCAGCACTCCTATAGTTGGAGCCGCCTTCCAACACCTTCCCCGGGCCAATCATCACTGACATCATCGGGGCCCACCAAACTGAGACTCGCCCACATGCGCATGAGACTCGCCCACATGCGCATGCACTTGCACACATAGCGTCAAAATCCAACAAGTAAGCACGGGGCATACATGCAAGATCGCTTGATCACAAACATATCCAGTGAACACAGCAAACAAAGTCTGATTCTGAATCTTTACCAAAAACATCAACGGGACGACGGACTGGATTTTCTCAGAACAGTCCAGAGTTCTTGCACAGCACAAAACAAAAACGATGCTGCAAAGGTAACAGCTCCCCAAACAAAACACGCAAAGATAAAGAAAAAAGAATGTTCGGTGGTATTCCCTGCTATTTTCTTGCACACGGGTTTTCATCTGCTCTCAGGCTCTTCTTTTTCTTATTGTGAAAGAAGCGGCATATGATAGGGCAGTTCCTTATGCGTTTTCTTTCTTTTGTGCTTTTTTCTTTTTCTGTTTTTGCGGGCGAAGCCGCAACGGGTCATCTAGTTTAATACTATTTATGTTAAACTGCCAGTACATGGCCCCAGCCGTGCTGAAAATGAACTTGTCGCCCATCCGAAAATTTTGCGCCTGGGGCCTACCTGACTACATTCATGTGTAACTGCCAGTACAGTGAGAACATGGCCCCAGCCTTGCTGAAAATGTTGCCCATCTGAGAGAATTTGCGCCTCGGGGCTACCGGTCCACAATGGCTGGCAGCGCCAGCCAAAAAAGAAAGAAAGTGCACCACTGGTGGTTCGGCAAAGCTTGGAGCGCCCTCAGGCCTGGGTGCACTGGTGGTTTAACATGGATTTGGCATAGGTATGGTCTGTTCTCTTAGTTGTGGTGCCTAGTGAAACAAGATGAGCAGTGGCGGAAAGGTGGTCTTGTCGGTTGGCGTGCGCAAGAGGGTACCGCCAATTGTATATGTGGATTTGAGATTTTTGCTGTGCTATCTTTGTGCCAGATATGCCCTTGTCCAATTCTCGGAATCCTCTCGGACGAGCGGTCAAGGCCCTGGGAAAAGCAAGAGAGAGAGCGGAGAACTGCCGAGACACGTCCGCTCACAGGTGAGGAAACTGTTTGCAATAACTTATGGGCTCAAATCTGTTTAAGCTTATGGGCCGTTGACCAAAGTGACGGCACTAGGTCATCACTTTTGGTCAAAGGCCCGAAACAGGTGACCCCTGTTTCGGGCTCTAGGTCGTCACGTTTGGTCAAAAGGCCCAAAATAGGCGTCAAAAGTCACGGCCTAAATCTGAATGTCAAGACATTGGGAGATTACATGTACGTCGGGCACGGTTTCATAAACGATATTTGGAGACATTAATTGACGCATGCTCAGGGGAGCAATGCGCAGTATACCAAGGATCCACAATGTGATGAAAAGGACTGAAATGGACAGTGCAAATCAGCGCAGCATCAACAAGCAATGTACATCCCGATACATACAAGATGGCGCAAATGGCACAGCGGAAGACTTCAAAGAGAAGATCTGATCTGACGTGGACTGACCCGACATCCATCACACATCACACATGGGCGAGAGAGGAGGGACCGCAATCATGGAAGGAAGGTCCCTCCTTCGTACACACACATGGGGAGAAACCACAGATGAGAGATGGGGGAGGGACAGACGAAAGAGGGAGGAGGCGAGAGAGTAGACCAAGATCGCAATGACGAAGTCCAAAATAGTCTCTTGCCGAATGTCCAAACAATGTCTGTCTCAGAAATGTCAAATCAGATCCTGGGCAGTGCGCCCGTTACAACCCCAGCCTGAATCCCTACTGATAACCTCTCACACTCTCAGATTCGAAGAAGAAGAGATAAGGAGGAAGGAGGGAGGAGAGAGAGAGGGAGAGAGAGAGAGAGAGAGAGAGAGATGGAGGAGGGAGAGAAGAGGAAGCCCTCCTCGCTATCTCACCTGCAGGTAGCTGTCACCGCACTGACGTCGTCCGTTGTTGCGTGCAGGTACCGCGTGGCGTCCCGCTATGGCGCAGGTAAGCTCGCCGCTCACAGGTATGGCCTCCACCACTCCCTATCTCCCCTGCGTTCTACTCCCTACTCCTCTACCTAGCGCATCGTAGTGCAGTCTCCAACCAGCAGCATGTCGCTCAGAAGTGAGCGACCCGAACTGTCGTGCCCAGGAGCTGGCCCAGCTATAAGTAGTGCTGGGCCGAGGTGCTGTGCCTTCGACCTGCGATCTGGGCTGTGAGATCGTAGGTCTGATCCATTGTCCAGGTCGCAGGAAAAAGTCCTGTCCCTGGGTTTGGCCTAAAAACGGCCTGCCTGGGTCCCTATCGGACGTCCAGGCCCTCCCTGCTGATACAGCAGGGAGTGTCTGCTACCAGACAACGCGAACCTGGCCTAAAAAGGCCTGGCTACGAATGGAGGAGGCCAAAAACGTGGCCTTGGTCCGAACAGATCGTAGATCTGTCCGGACGAACTGCAAGTCCGAAACGTCACCTGAAACAGACAAAAGTAGAACAGACAAACAACAGCACACATAAGTAAAGGAATAAATAAATAAATGACGGCTGCCTCAAATCTGTACCTACGGCCTGTCCAATGGCCGTGGGCCTCCAGGTCGCGTGCTTGGAACAGGCGCGCGGCCTAGGGGCCCTCAACAACCTTCGGGCCCAAAAATGGGCCCGTGTGTCAGGCTCAGCATGTAACATTAATGCTGCGCTGAGTCAGACTTGTATTGCGACATTCTTGAGCTTCTCATCTGGCTAAGCTCATTGCATGTTATTCAAATTCCTTTTGTAGATGTGTATATTCCAAGTTTTGTGGGTCGTTGTCGTCCAGAGATTTCAGTACTTTCTATGTGCATGCCGCAGTCGCTGTAAGCGATTGTAAGTTTTCAAATTCCTTTTGCAGACTCGTATATTCCAAGTCGTCTGATCGCAATTGCCTAGAGGTTTCAGTACTTTCTGGCCAAGGTTTTAGACTTTGTGTTCGCCGCCACAGTGGCTTTAACTGATTGTATGTTGGGTTATACTTGTTTTGCCCTTTTCTCTCATTTCTGCAGCAATGGCCTTGGGCTCTCCGTGATGTTCTCGCCAAGGTTTACACTTTGTATTTGCCGACAGTGGCTTTAACTGATTGTATATTGGGTTATACTTGTTTTTCCCTTTTCTCTCAATTCTGCAGCAATGGCCTTGGGCTTTCCGCGAATCCTTTCTTGCTGTCTCCTACTCTCAGCGGTCAGATGCTGGACGCCGGCTCCATTGCTGCAGGGAAGGCTAGCAGCCCCTTATTATCCTCTTTGACATCAGCTCAGCAGTCATTGCCACCAGCGCAGCAGCAGCAGCAGCAGCAGCCGCGGCGGCAGCATATGTACGAGAGTGGATCAGAGTCGAGGAGTAGCTGGTACTGCGGATTGGGAAGCCAAAGTCTATTCCCATCCGCAAGTACAAACCCAATATCAGGGGTGTCGGAACATGATCTCACATGCGCAATATGCCTAGGTGAGTTGATGCATTAAAACGGTTTTCACCTTTACGGTAGCAGATACAGCACCCAGGGCTTGATCCCTACTCCTTCCCTTCACCCGTGTACAGTACCCGTGAGCCCGTGTGTGTTTGAACCCACGACCTGTGTTCTGAAAGTCGTATGTTTAGCCGTTGTAGGTAGGTCGGTTGTTGGTTCTCAAACTGTAGGTCCGCGTCATCGGAGTCGTAGCACTAGTATAGGTCATAGCCGCTGCAGTACCGAGAGGTCACCCAGGTCGTAGCTGCTACAGTGCCGTAAGGTCACGTATGCTAGACTAGGACCTTGTAGATGAGTCTATTCTACCCAATCGTAAGTCCTAGGAGGCAATTCGTAGACAAGTGGGCAAGTGGGCAGTCTAACCTAGGCTAGTCAGCGGTACCCAGTCCCAGGTTGCACTTTGTCCAGTCAGAAAGTACCATGTGGGACTGTGTGCACCCCGGGCCCAGGGCCAAAGGGCAGACCTTTGATGATTCGAAGTATAAATAAAGAGGCAGCGTCAAGTCATGCATTCATTCTGCCTGTGAGCCGTGCAGAAGCGCTGCCAAAGCATCTTGTGCTATGGAGGTCTGCAGGTGCCCGTAGGAGAAGTGGGCTAGGAGGAGGAAGACGCAGCCATAGCTGCTGGTGTTGTTAGTAGTATAGGAAGGCAGCCATAGTTGCCGTAGCTTAGTAGTGGGGTGTTAGTGTGTGTGTGTGTATGAGTGTGTTAGTTGTGTCTGTGCGTGCGGGACATCCAGGGAGATCCAGAGTTGCGTGTGTGCGAACAAGTTGCTGAGTGTACAGTTATCAGCCATGACCGATTGAGCCAAGTTTGAATCTGAACTGTGTTTTTGGCCTCGTTATCTCTGAGCTTTGTGTGGGCGCTAAGGCGCCAGTGTGATCGTCATCTGTTTGCGCACGTGCTGAATGTCGAAGGAGACAAGTCTGATTGCATTGGTATCAGAGCTGATTCCCGCTGTCCTGATCTTCGCTGTCGTCATCACCGTCGTGGCCGCCATCGCTGAAGAGAGGAGGGAGAGCTACGCCAGCTTCGGGCGCCCAAAGGGGAAGGACGCTACCTCATCGTCGTTCGTATGAAGAGAGGAGGTGCCAAGTGATGGGAGCACCACACGTCAGCCTCGTGCTCCTCAAGAAGAGATAGGCGCCCCGTTACGCGCCATGTTTGCCATGCGAGCCCCGTTATTTGCTGCTGCGCACGCCTCGCCATTTCCTGCTCGTGGCCGCTGCCGCTACGCGGTGTGCGATATTGCGTGCAGCCCCGATGTCCATTGTGCGCCTGTTGTTGCCAGATCGCGCCCGCTACTAGCTCGCGCTACTGCCTGTTCCCGTCATGGCCCAGCTAAGCATAGCGCGCCAAGCCAAGTGTCGCGCGCCGTTTGTCTATCGCGTGCCCGGTTGCGAGTAGAAGAACGCCCACGCGCTACGAAGAGAAGAGCCACCGCCATTGGGGAAGATTGCCGACGGGAGAGAGAGGTCCGCTGTGAAGAAGAAGACCGCCGTTCTTGCAGAAACCCGCTGCGCCGAGTTAGAGAGGAGTGGCCATAGCCACCGTGCTTGAAAAGAGGAGGGAGACAATGACGAACGAAGAAGAGAGAGAGAGAGAGAGAGAGAGAGAGAGAGAGAGAGCGGGGGGGGGGGAGAGAGTTGAGCGATATGAGATTGGTTGTGCAGCCTCGAGGAAGAAGGTGGTGGCCAGAGCCGCCAAGCTCGGACCTTGCAACAAAGGAGAAGATTGAAGTGACGAAGAAGAAGAGAAAGGAGGGAGGAGGGAGGCGAGACGAGGGAGAAGGAAGACGCCATAGCCAAGGTGGGTGAAGAAGAAGGAAGACGAGGTGAAGAGAGAGAGAGGTTCGCAAAGAAGAAGGGTCGACAACCATAGCTGAAGGTCAAAGGGTTGACCGGCGAAGTTTGACTGGGTGTTGACCAAGTTGGACTGCCGTTGACCAAGACTTTGACGAAGCTGGAGTTGGTATAATCTCGCCAAGCCTTCAGCCTATCCTCTCGCCCTGTGGATGTGCACTTACCCCTTGGTACTTGCTGAGTCTGTATGTCTCTTCTTTTTGCGTTTAGTCAGTTTTGTCTAGGTGATAGGACTTTGTGCATGTGGTCTGTAGAGCTGCGTTGATCAAACCTGCACGGGATGAGTAGGGCTTAAGTCCATTCTGACGACTGACACATCCCGGGAACAAGAACCCCAAGGACCGGTACAGACCGGCGGGCTGCTGTGTGTAGCATGGTAGGCCCAAAATCCGAGCTGTAGGCTGTACAGCCAGTTGTCTAAGCGTTGAGAGGACTCGCTGATCACATCGTCCTGCCTGCGACGTTAAAGAATTCCTGAGGAGTTATGGGGGATCTCCTCTCCTTAAATGCCTCCTGATCAGCAGTAGAGTCCTGTAGTGACGGTTGTAGAAGTAGTGTAGTTTACAATAGAGTCAGTCGGTCAATTTGTCAGTCAGTCAGTCTGTGGGTAAGTTTAAGTGGTGAGGAGTGGAACTATCATTGGTTGTGCACCTACCACCATGGATGACTACCCTATGTATTCCCTGCTTGTGGGGTTCTCCCTGTAGGGGACCCTCTGACGTCTCCTGTTTCCGTTAGGATTCTGGCACACGTTTTTGTGTAGAGTCACGATCAGGGGTGGTACAGAGACCACTCCTTATACAAAGGAGCAGGAGGAGGAGGCCGCAAAGATTTTGGCAGAGCAGAAAGCAACGAAGGAGAAGAAAGAGTTGGAAAAGAAGGCAAAGAAGGTGGCTCTCTTGGTAGAGAAGGCCAAGAAAGAGAGAGGGCTGGAGGAGTTGAAACGGGTGCAGAAGAGAAAGTAGTTGCGGCAACCGTAGAAGAAGAAAGAAGAAGAAGAAGAAGAAGAAGAAGAAGAAGAGGTAGAACCCTTGCAGAGAGGAGCAAGAAGTGAATAGAGGGGAGAGTCAAGTGGCGCGAAGGAGAGAGATGAGAGGATGGAAAAAATGGTGACAAAATGGGTAGCCAATCTGTCTTTGGCGGAAGAAGAGGAAGCTATGGTATATGTTCCCCAGGCAGAAAGAAAGGCGGTTGTGAGGGAATTGTAAGCGGGGGAGAATCCCTTGCGCCGCCAGGCCAAGGATGAAGAAAAGAGGTTGGAGTGGAAGCTACGCCTTGGAAGAGAGAGAGAAAGGCGATTGGAGGCGGCAGATAACATGGAGAGAGAGTTAAGTGCTGACGAGGAGCACCAGGGGCAGATGGGAGCACAAGAGGATTTACAGAGGAAGGTAGAACTCCTGTCTCAGAACATGGAAGTGATGTCGAGGGCTCAACAGGAGCAATTGCGTTATTTGAGGGGTCACGATATCGCATTCCAGTCCATATGCATAGGGTGCAAAGATTTCGCACATGATATGATGATGCGCGTGGGCAAAGAAATGTGCACTCCATTGGAAGGCATAGAGAAATTTTGCGCAGGGGCCATAGAAGGCGCTAAGACAGCGGCCGCTAGGGAAGAAGAAGTACGGCCACAGCACGAGCGTGTCAAGGCCGAGTTCCCTGAACCCTATACTGGAAAGAAGGGAGAGGACTTTGATTATTGGGAAGCCAATATCAAAACTCTCTTTTATTCCAATTTATTATTTATTTCCTGGTTTTGAGTTTTAATTAATTAATAAGAAAATATGTTTTGGAAAACAAAAATCAATATGATTCAAAGACTTAAAAAACTTTATCTTGATAATGTTGTATCTGACTTATATCAAAAGTTTAAATATACTAACCTCCATCAAGTTCTACCTGCATTGCAAAACATCGCGCCTGAGAACGAAGTTTTTGTAGCCTTTCAGGCCCTCAAAGATGAAGCACACAGTTTCGCTAGGTCACTTTCACGTGCAGGCAAGTGTTAAAATGACATGGTCACATACTCTTCTATCACTCACCTGAGTGAGTTCTTAGCCGCTCTCCGTGACCGGTTTGCAGATGTCACTAGGGGTCTTAGGGCCTCTGACAAACTGCAATCATGGCCTCTGCTGACGTGGTGCAAGGTCACGTTGTCTAGGATTACGTCTATAGACGCGCGTGGTTATTATCGCGATCTTGACATTGATGGCCGTGCGCATGCATTATCCCTTGAGGATGATGACGTGGACCTGTTGAAGTGAAGCTGGCAACATGATTTACGTGACACTTTGTTGCTGACCTGGCGATCAGATACAGGCAAGAGCATCATTGGCTGCGGGTTGACGTGGCGCTGTTGAGAGAGAGAGAACGGGGTATTGGGACTACTGACGTGGCGCACTGCCTACGTGGCATGACGCAAGGGTGCTGACGTGGCAACTTAAAATTGGCAGGGTATTGTTTGACGTGGCACGTGCCTGTGTTGAGACTTCCCTGCTGATGTGGCGCTTCGATTTGACGTGGCATATGATCGGGCAGTTGGCACATTGCTGACGTGGCACCTCCGTGGAGGTGCTGCGTTGGCATGCCAGGGTGACACGTGCCAGTGGGCGTGCCCTGCCGCCGGTGAGAAGTTGATACTTGCACTTATGTGCTGGTGGGTGGCACAACTTCACGATTTGTTGTAGTGCCACGCATCGGCCCTTGTGTCTGGCCGCATTGGTTTGTGAAGATGGTGCAGCCGAAGAGGAAAGGATGCTGACAACTGACTATTGTTGTTGTGTTTGCGGACTTACTCACTTGTCTTGGCTGTTCTGTGGTTGCGATGCATACTCACCTGTGTTGTTGTGTCTTGATCACACCGGTCGTGGCTGCGGTACCTGTGCACTCTCATTAGGACGTCATCACATATAGGACAGGCAACAGAAGTTAGAAATAGGAATAAATTGAAATTTGTTCCTTCTTTATTCGTTTATTTATTTCTTGTTGTAGGAGCTCGGGTGTGGCCGTGGAATTTATTATTGTCTTATAATTATTTATTGTGCGGCAGACACACATTGCGAAAATGTCTTTCCTAGGGAAGTGCTTTCGCCTCTCCATCTTGACTCGCTTCATT